TATATATATATATGGACATATATATATATATATAAGTATAGAGTTTCGGTGGAGATATGCAAGAAGATGCCGTCGACTATATCTCGCGTGTTTAAACTGGATCAATAATCTTTCGTTAACCTTAAGATAACGGATAAGCACAAAAGATTAGGTACAGTTGTATAAGTGTGATAAAATGACTCACCCAGGAATCCATCACCGAAGTCATTGTCGTCGATTCCGATGTCATCGGGTCGAGCCGCTAGATCTGCATGTTTCTCGTGTTTATGACTGTGTAGGCTATCAAGGTGATTACCGCCAATCAGAGTGGCATCCATATCAACGTCCGAACGAATTGAGAAGTCCGTTCCACCGCGCACGGACAACTGGCCGCTAGCGCGGTATATGCTGTCCCCATAGGTTTTATCTCCTTCGCGGACAACTTCACGACTGGAAGCCTCTTCAAAAGCTGAATCCCCAAAGTCATCGTCTTGTCTTCCCAAGTTGATTTCACCAAAATCCTCTCGCATGGTAATGTCTTCAGGACGACTTTGGTTGATGGCTATTGTGTTCATATTGATCTCGCTATACAAAGATGTAGTGAAAAATTGCGGAACTTACTTGAGATCTGCTATGGTAGCTTCAAAATCATGAAGGTTTTCCGGAAGTGTGATCGCCGCGATTGCGGCTTCTCTGTTTGCCTCATCCGGAAGATCGACGACCCCAGGACGAAACGCCATCTTGATTTTGACAAATGCTTCATTACAGTCTGCAAGCAGGTACTTTGCTTTTCTCGAATAAATACGGACGACTCCCAAAAGAAGGTGACCGGAAGTGCGCAGAGCCATTTTTAACTTCGGCTCCAAAATCGCCTCAACACTGGAACTGATATTAGTTTCGAAAACATGCGCTCGAGTCAGTTTTTTGTCCCAATGAGCAGCAAGCCAAATGCGAGCCAGCGGCCCCTTCTTACTGAGGACAAAGTGCGCGTAAAACATTTAGAGCTAAAAAAGATGGAAAATTAGCAGTTTTTCTCACGTTTGTATGAGTCTAGTAGAGAAGAGGCTGGTGCGACAATCGAAAAGGGACGTAAAACAAGTGCAGCAAGTCTTCACATTGAGAAAAGTTTCGATATAATGTTTCTTTGACACGTTGCAGTTGTAAAAGACTTAGGTGAGAACGACAGAGGGACTAGAAATATATGTCATGAGTGGGCCTTTCGGAAACAGAGTAGGAAAAAAGACGCAGTGGAACTGAACGAAGAGCCTAATGGAGAGCAGTCTCATACTGGAATGTGTAGCCCCAGAAAATATCGCGGTTTCCTGCATAATGAATGCTCATTTTCTACGCCGGTATGGTGCTTAATGGTGTTACTTCCGAAGGGTCTATATTACCCAAGAAGCCCGGTCAATGTTTCATTCTGTTTGATGAATGCTTGGCACGGTCCTGGCAATTCATCGGCGATAAAACCTCGAATACAATGTCAACAAAGCACGAAAAGTGCTATGCGAAGGCTTCAAAACCATCAGTATTGATTGTAGAAACGAAATCTTATGTAGCATATCTGCAGGAAACTTCGAGATATTACTGGAGAGGATGAATCGGCTCCAGTAATACCCTGTTTTACATGAGCACGACTGGCAGCAAGGCCCGGCCACAGCATCATCCATTTTCCTTCCCATTGTTTGACCCAGTAGAGCACCTGCAGAACAAGGAGTTCAACGCCAGCCTTCATTGAAGATTATTCGTCAATGCGACAGCGTCAACCTGACAACAGGGGGGTTTTGATGGTTCTGAATCTGGTTTGCAGAGGTGGACTATATGGACTGCGTCGCTGGATTGAGTTGGATTGGGCGTGGCGTGTGTGGCAACGCGCTCAGTAAAAATAGTAATGCATTTGAATTTCTCGACAAACACCACCGCCTTACGGTAAGCCTTTTGAGCCAAAGGTTTCGGTTGAGGGCCCTAATCATCCTCCTGTCTAGGTGTGGGCCCTGACGGTATCCTGGCCCACGTACAACCATGAACTGTACACATACAAATAGACTCACGCCACATCGGCCGTTGCGCGGTGTCATCAGCCGGGTCGTCCTACTCCCTGCATACAGCAGAGCGGGCAAGCGAAAACAGGCTACTGCTAACGCCTCTCTTCTTTCCCTTTCATACAGTTTTTCCCCCTCTCCCCACCACATTAACAACTCTCCCCTTGTAGGCTCTGCAGTTAGTAATGATTACTCCGTCCGTCTTGCATCGGTTTCGCGAGCAAAATCTGAGCGCCATATGGTGACATCTTCAGGCATCTCGAAATCAATATTCAAACCTCGTAGGCCAGCCCATCTGGACGTCTTCAATGTCCACACTCTGATGCAAACGAGTCAACAAGCTGCTCTTGCTCTCCCACAGGACTCGCTTGGCATTGATGTGTGGCGTGTCTCAGAAACAAGAATTCAAGATACAAGCACAATGGTTGAGATAACCACCCCATCACTCTCCAACCCCTTCCTGCTGCGCACCTCTAGCGATTCAGAGGCTGCTGCGGCAGGATGTGCAAGGGTTGGTATCGTCCTAAGTCACCGGGCAGAGGGACTCTTGCTTGCCTGGATACCCGTTGATAGCCGCCTCTGCGCAGCTCGTCTGTCAACGTCTGTGAAGGAGTCTCACAAGCGGGAAGCTGATCGCTGTCTGTTTATCGTGTCTGTTTAAGCCCCGACCGACTGTAGCTCTGATAAAATCGAGGATAAGTTCCACGACGAACTGAATGGCCTGTTTTGGCGAGCAAAAAGCTCATACGTCGTTGCTTTTTGCTGGAGATCTGAACGCAAAAGTGGGCAGGCTTAGTGCATCTGAGACTCAATTACGAGATCGACATGAACTGGACTCGGTGTGCACGGACAATGGTGAACGATTGCTTCAGGTGTGTAACGACTGCAGGCTGTTTTCAAGCAGTACTAACTTCTGAAGTGGCCAAAGTCGTCTGTTCATATGGTGTCCTCCAACGGCATGTCGGTCACGGACTCAAATCGATCACATTGCCACCAGTTACCGGGGGCGCGTTTCAAGAACTGAATGCCGTTCGTTCTGGAACACATTTGTGGATTCCGTCTGGAGTCACTTCTCCCTACGTTTTCCAGTACCGCAAGGTACAGAAAAATCGCCTGGCATCTGAAAGACGGATGGTAGACGAGTTTATTAGAATGGTCTTCTACGGCCTCTTCTAAGATGTAAATTTATACTGGGACGAGATTGCCACCTCGTTGCACAGTGATGGGTGTTTTGCTTGTGGCATCGCATCACCAGGCTCACTCAAACGTTGGATATCAGACCAAACGGTGGCACTGCTCAAATCTCGGAAAATATCACACCCGGTCCCGAACATAACTTGACACGACGAATCATCCCACGTCAAGTGGAAGTGAGCGTGCGAAGCGACCATCAGATCTACTACACACAGAAAGCCAAGGACATGGAAGAGGTCCAGGAAGCTGGTAATGCCCGGAGATTATTTCAGCTGATCCGCAAGATCGGTCCCCGGAAACCGTCTATGAGCGAAACCATCCAGCATCATCATCCTCAAATACAGCAACATCAGTGTTGCCACTGACGCTTCACTGCCGCGGTCCCATGTCGTAGCGGTTGTCACTCTGGACTCTGAATCCAGTGACCCGAAAAACCATCCATCTCGAATAACGAAGAACGCCTCAACAGATGGGCCAAATACTTCGAACAACGATTGTCATGGCCACCAACTGCCACTCACCTGGAGCCCACAGGTGACGTAGAACCTCTGGCGGTGAACGTGGAACCCCTTGCGGCCTCGGAAGTTTATGACTATATATGATCTACCAAGCGCCACGGAGCTTCTGGTCCGGATGACCCTCAGCCGCATTGTTCAAACATGGGGGTGAAATCCTCAGCCAGTGCTTGTCCGATCTATTCGCCTGCATTTGGGAAGAGGAGACTGTCCCAGACAACTTGAAAGAGTCGGTGACAGTGCCCATTTTCAAAACAGGGGCTCGCAGTGAGTGTGGTAGCCAAAGGGGGGTCGGCCTAACCCGTTGTAACGAAACTGCTGGCGTCACTCGTGCTTCATCGGCTTATGGTGGTTCGTGAAACACTGACTCGAGAGCAGCAGGCGGGATTCCGGCCTAGTGGGGGTCGCGTTGTCCAAATTTCCACATCCCATCAGATATTAGAACGCCATGTGTATAAGCGACTCGCAATTCTAGTATTCCTGAATTTCCAGGGCGCATTCAACTCGGTTGACCGATCTGTTTTTGACACGTTTGTCAACCAAGAAATGCTCCGGAATTTTGTGATTATATTATGTTCCCTGTATTCTATGACTTCCAGACGTGCGAGAGTATACGGATAGCTCTCTAAAAGCTTCAGTACACAAAACGGCGTCCGTCAGGGATTCCAGTGCCTCCATTCCTTTTTAACTTCGTGGTCGATAAGATAATGAAACGAACGCTGGAAGATTTCCAAAACCCTGGTGTTCAAATAGCCTGTGAAGAAAACCTTGTCGATCTGGAATATGCAGATGACATCGTTCTCGTCCTCAAGAGAAGAAAGTGGTGTTTTTGGATGGACTAACCAAAGCCATCCCATCCTTTGGTATGCTCTTTGCACCCAAAGTGTAAGGTCACACTCGTGGACATGCAGTCACTGAACAGGCAAGTCCAGTGAGAGCCGATCGAAGTTCTGGAGCGCTTTAAGTATCATTGGAGTTACATTATTTCTGAGTGTAGTGTGACAGATGAGGTCAATGCATGGGTTTGCGAGCCTCGGGTCGCGTTTGCGTATATGAGGAACCTATGGCATGAAAGCGGTATATCCCCGAATCTCGAGGGACTTGTGTATCAAGCTATAGTGCTGGCTGTTTTGTTGCATGGCTGTGAGACTTGGCCAGTTCAATCGACGGAACTCAGACGTCTTCGAGTGTCGACAATCTTGTCCCAGGACCATAGCTCGCGTAGGTTGGTGTAAGAATCAGCAACGAGGCAATTAAGAAAGCGAGCTTTCGGTTGTGGAAGACTTTCAGCACCAGAAGCTGTGTTGGTTAGGCCAAGGACTGTGTATGCCGAACCATCGTTTGCCGAAGAGAGTTCTGTTTCCCACACCCGATTCAGAGTGGCGAAAGCAGAGGTGACCAACCCTTGAACAGGCAGAACGGCGTGAAAGAGACTACGAAAAGTTTGGGTGCTGTCAGTGGTGCTGGTCGCCTAGCACAATGGGGACTGCGTGATCTCCACTGCGCCTGGTTGGAGGTGCTGCAAAATATGGCTTCTAAGCGATGTGAATGGTGCTATAGTTTCCATCCAGATTGCCTGAGTGAGTGTTCCGAGATATGAGCACTTCGGAATGACTGTAGTAAGCTAGCACTAAGTCTCTCTTTTCACCTTTATTCCGTTGTTCACAATGAGATGACGAGATGGCACACTGGTTATAGCCCGGAATGTCGGTGGTTCGAACCTGACCTCTGCATTTCGACTCTTCCCCTCTAAGCTTGGGCAACCTGACAGTATCCCCCCCTTTCAAATAAATCATGGATGTATGGAAACTAAGCATCAGTGTTGTACATTGGTGTCATGCAACCGATTATTATTATTATTATTATTATTATTATTATTATTCGTTCAGCTGTAGCACCTTTTAGGTGCCTAAATGCCATGCCACGAGGTCTCGGATACCGCCAAGTTCCCCAAGCCCAGACAGGGGAAGTAAAGAGGCAGCGGCCGGGCTCGAACCACGGACCTTCCGGTATTAGTGCACAGGTGGTGATAGCCATAATACATATCATGTGTGTGACAGTGAACGGTTGCGACACGTATAAAAATAAACACAACGCGAAATGGGAGCAAGTCAAAAGGGAACTTATCGTATGTGAGAGTTCCTTGCTGAAAGTCCGAACGGCGGGAACGTGTTTTTCTCCGCAGTGCGACTGCTACACGTGTTCCATAGTTGTCCGTGGACACTGAGTGTTTAGCTGACTCCTTGC